TACTTATATAGTAGTAGTACGTTACTACTAGTCGTATATACTATATATTAGTTGTAGTGTTTTATTTATTCCTCTCTCTCTCTCTCTCTCTCTCTCTCTACTCTCAACACACACACACACATGTATCACTTCATAAGTACACGAAATCAACTCCAAGGCACACATATGTGTCATATCACATCATAAGTACACGAAATTGACTCCTGGTTGCATCGAGTGCCTTGCCAGTGTAGACTTCTCACCAGTTAGGAGCTGCCTAGCACCTTGGCTAACACTATATAATAGTATCATTGATGAGAGGACAAATGGGAAGTCAAGAAAGATCATAGTAGGTGGGAGGAAGAGGTCATGGAACTATGTATGCAGTATGATATTGTAGGGCAATTGATGCACATATATACTATATCAAATGCATAAATTTATAATTTATTTTTTATACATTTATAATTATAGTACTTGATATGCACAAGTCCTAGGAGTATCCAGTGTTGGTATCAGGTTGATGACACTGATAGAGTAGTAGCTTGGCTTTTTTAGTCTTGTTTATATTTCTCAGTTCGATTGTTACTGTTGCTTTTGTGATTGGTTTCTCTACAGTTTTTGTATGCCATTACATATAGGCATCCAAATGATCGATTCGTTATTTATGGAGATTGATTGATACAAATACGTTGTCTGTGTTTTCTATTCAATGGTATTGGACCTGCCCAAGAGGGTAGCCAATTTGAAATCAAGAAAAGCGCATAAAGGGCATCATCTCAATTTGCAAACCAAGCCCGTCTGAACTTTTGCCCTGTGTCTAGTGCCATTTTCCAGGGGTGGAAAGTGGTCTAAAGCTACTTTCGAGAGTAATAGAACTGGTTCTAGATCATTAGCGGAGGAAAAGCAACTTACTAAATAAAAAGGAAACGTGCTTGGGCTTGAGTGGTTAGCAGTTGACGTTTAGCATCTCTAGTTCGATTCTACTGCTGAACTACCCAAAAAAAAAAAAACTCATAGAAGATCTTAGTAGCCATGTTTCACTGTTTGAATTCTTTGGAAGGTGAGTAGCCAGTTGACAATAATGTGTTTTAGCTGGTAGTGCAGTGTTCTTGTGTCAGGCCATGTCTTTATATTTGTGGGTCGTACGGAAGGAAATTGGCTGATATCCTATGTAGAAATGATCTTTATAAGGGATGGTGGGATTCTCCCTGTCAATACATATTGTGAGGCATGGTTCTTAAGATATTCATGTACCAGAAATCTTTTGTTCTAGTCTCTCAGAATGCATCTTAACTAGTCGCAACCTGTCAAGGTTTTAGCAACATTGGTTGGTGTCTCAGTGTCTTATTAATACCATGTCTATGGTGGGAATGTTTTCTTGAAAGGAACATACTTCCCAAGAGGAGCCTTGTGAACATGGGCAGTCTTTCCAGCCTATCAAGTATTTTGAAAGGTTGATGAGTCTATTAAAAGGACCTTATTTGAGATAATGATCAACGAAACATGGTACATTTTTTGGTTTGAAACTGAAGGCATCTGCCATCTATGTACTCATCTACTCAACTTGCTACGCATCTTCTCACTCGGTGCTCGTTGGCTCACGTCGTGCTTACGCACTTCACTCGCTTTCGGGAGTTACATGAAGGGTGAATTCTGACGTAGGCAAGGTACCAGGAAGGTTAGTGTTGCGGGCACTGAGGTCAGACCTAATATGGTCATTTTCAAATTCAAATCATCATAGAGGAGGACCAGGAGATCCATAAAGCTCTCTAGATCCAGTGGTATCTCTTTTGGGTCTTGGGCAAAAGCATATGCTATCAGTTTTAACAGATAAATGAACTCATCTTTTCAGAAATGATTTGGGAAGGTCCTCGAGTTTCCACCGTCTTTTCCCAAAGGAGGTCCTCCTTTTCTATCGTGGAGCTGTGTAAGCAAGGCAGTTGTTATCATGGATCTTTTCACAACAGAGTAAACTCAATGATATATTGCACAATAATACCAGAAAGTGGCGATGCCTTAGATACTTATGGTGATGACATGCACCTCATAGGGCATTAAGAAGATAAAGGAATGTGGGTGACGATGCAGTTTGCAATTAGAATACATTGGTCCTTCGTAAGAGGTGGTGAGATGCTTGATCATTTCTAGGAAAGATTTTCTGGTATCTGTGATTATGTTCAATGTGTTTTAGGTACAAAGGGATCCCCTAACTCCCAAATGTCGGGGGCAAGGAAAATTATTTTGTCTGCTTACACCCCTTTCTCAAACAGGATAAGCTTCTTTCCCAAATCGGTGACCAGCTTGTGATTTTGGAAGAAGTTTGGAGTGGGGATTCCACGCTGGAAAACACCTCTTTCAGCTGGCCAGGGATCAGGACGGTAACATCTTGGGTCGCTTCAGATTTTTGGGCTGTGATTTGGATTGGCTCCTATTTCAGGAGGGACTTATCCAATGATGAGAGCTCTGTTCTGGTGTCCCTGCTAAGCTCTCTTCATATATTCTATCTTCCTGGCTGTAGATGTGATAAATTTCTTTATGTGCCCTCCTCCTCAGGCTCTTTCTTGGTATTTTCTTTCTGTCGAGAACTTAGGCACCAAAACATCCAGTCCTTGATTGCTGCCGAGGCCTCAAGTCCCCCCAAAGGTCCAAATCTTTAACTGGTTGGCCATTCATGAAAAGATACAATAAGCTAACTCCAAAGGCGTGGTCTTGCCAAAGGCATGGTCTTGCCATGCCGAATAGATGCATTATGTGCAAGGCTAATGAAGAATCAGTTGGCCGTCTCATCCTTCATTATCCGACTGTGATGCAGATTTATAGTGCTTTTCTAAAGTCACCGGTTGAGTGGGTAGTTTCATTGTCCATTCAACAAGTGTTTTCTACTTCTCTCCCCACCCTTTCACTCCTTTGGTCTAACATTCTGGAGGATTCCTGTCCTTGTTATCCTCTGAAATATCTGGATTGAACTTACTAGAAGAGTGTTCGAAGGCAATGTTAGATCACTTCAGGCTTTTGAAATTGGTTGTAGGCGGAGTTCCTTTCTCACCAGGTCCCATGTTAAAAATTCATAAAAAAATAAAAAATAAAAGAAATGAGGATTGCTTGAGGCTGTTTTTGACAATACAATAGCAAGCACAATAGGATGGGCTGCATTTTGGAAAGGATTTAAAGGCCTTTGCACCTTGAATCTCTTAATGTACCAGACTGTAATCAGGTTAACTTGGAACCCACCCACTCATTCATCCCATTGGGCCGCTCCTGAAAGCATCACTATCAAACTGAATTTCTTACTGTAGTAGGACTGTAATCAGGTTAAATTGGAACCCACCCCACTCATTCATCCCATTGGGTCGCTCCTGAAATCCGTACTATCAAACTGAATATTGACAGTTGGTCTATAGGCAGCCCAGTATCTCTGGCCTAACGGGACTGTTTAGCAACAACTAGGGAGCTACACTTATGTCGTTTCGGCAGGTTGTATGACTTCAAACGTGGCTGAAGCCCTTGCTCTTCAAATATGGCTGAAGCCCTTGCTCTCCTTCAAGGAATCAGATTGTTCAACCTGAGTTGGGGCTTGAACGTCGTGGTTGAGTGGGAGTTCGAAGAACATCGTCAGTTGGGCTACCAACAGCTATAGCTGTCCCATGCGAGATTATACACTGTTATCAAAACTGTAGAATATCAAACATGGCTGAAGCCCTCTCCTCAAACATGGCTGAAGCCCTTGCTCTCCTTCAAGGAATCAAACTTTCGACCTGAGTTGGGACTTGCACCTCGTGGTTGGGGGGTTTCAAAGAACACCATCGGTTGGGCTTCCAACAGCTATAGCTGTCCCGTGGAGATTATGCACTGTTATCAAAACTATAAGATATCAAACATGGCTGATGCCCTTGCTCTTCAAACATGACTGAGGCCCTTGCTCTCCTTCAAGGAATTAGACTGTTCAACCTGAGTTGGGAGTTGAACCTCGTGGTTGAGGCGGGGTTCGAAGAACACCATCAGTTGGGCTACCAACAGCTATAGCTGTCCCATGGAGATTATACACTCAATTAAAACTGTAGAATATCAGTGTTATGAAAAAAATAAATGGTCTTGATCATTATAGAAGCCCTATGAAATATGTCCGTTTATGTTGGTTGCAATTTTTTGGAATTATTAGGGGCAATGTCTTTGGGGCTTTCCAAAATGGGTGCCATGCATTCCTAGATGAGGAAGCTATAAGCTTGAGGGGGCAATTTTTTTTTCCTATGGTGGAAAGGGTAACCAGGAAAGAATGCATGTCTTTGGCAAATGACATTTGGATTTATGGGAGGCAATGATGGGACAAAGATTGCAAGGTTAGAAATGTGAGGTAGTTAAGGGATTTGGTTTCAGGGGGAGGGGTGAGACTGTATTCTGGCAAATATTAGACAACTTGATCTTATTCCATGAAGGTTACGCCTGTTTTGCATATTCTGTGGCAGTTGGGTTTGTAAGTATCATCTCCTGAGTAACATGTGTGATGTATCTTATTTTGCAAATATGGTAAGTAGGTTGCAGTTCTTAAATGCTTGCGTGAGGCTTTTTTTTGAGGACTCGTGAACTCTTATCTGAGGAAAAAAAAAAATGTTACAATGCAATCATGGCTAAGTTAACATGGCATTTATTACACCCTGAATGTCAACCATATTATATTTGATTCCAGGTTGACTTAGTGATACATTGGCACAGGCATCCATTAATCTCAAGGTGCTAGAGTCCCCAATTATATGTACTCTTGGCTGTCAACTCTGGTCTTTGTTGCTCTCTTTTGGTGTCTTGTTGCCTCCCTGTTATTATTTTTTTGTTCAAGTTCTTTCTAAGGCTCTTTTTGTTTTAAGGAAGTTATCATATTTGTTTGCATTTTCTTTCGGAGTTCTTATTACTTGAAATAGTTTCCTTACTTGTGGGCTCATTTTCTGATATCAATTGATGCATTTGCAAACAGGTGAGACTGTTTCTTTCGGAGGATCCTCCAACACATGCAGGATCTGGAGCTCAAGATCTCCTTCAAGCAAAGGCCTCATGGCTCTGGCACTCAACTGGAACAGGAGATGAGCTGCCTCCTGGATTTGAGACTTCTCAACCTATGTGGCATCCAAAAGGGTTATCATCTGTCAAGTGGCGGTACCCTCCTAGAGTAAGAATGCAGGATCCTTTTTTTCAGTTTAAACTAGATATTTTACCAAGATGAGCTACATTTTTTGAGAACTTTCTCACCTCTATACAATCCGAATGCCTCAGTTCTTCTTTATTCTGTAGTTCATGATAAATCCCTCTTGGAAAGTAGCGGCAGGGGAAGAAAGCAGAGAAGTTGAGGTTCAAAATCAGCGCCAATTTAAGGTCTTAGAAGCTGTATATCCACGTCCATCTTCCATTCCTCCAAGGTTCTATTTTTCTCTTGCTTTCTGTGAAAATTATAACTATCACGAATACGGCCTGTGGTGTATGATTACCCCAGTGGGTAATCATCATCCATTTTTTGTGATAGATGATAGTATTTAATGTAGGTGGTGCCCATAGTTAGCAATACTTGCACGCCACTATATGAACAAACCCAAAAGTCAGTATTCTATTCAGTTTTGGTAATAAGGAGCAAAATAATGGTTTAAAAAATAGAGTGCTAGAAACTGTTGAGTGAGAAGATGTGATTGATTCAAATTTGCCGCGAAGAGTTAAAAAACTGGTTTATATATGTGTATTTTTCTGTATGTGTGGAGGGGGATGGCTGGTAATTATATAAATTTTTTAACAATAAGAATATCAGTTCGCACCAATGTTTTTTAAGACTGGACTGGTGGTTGAACCAGTGAGCGCACTAGCCTGGTCAGACTGGAGTGGTTCACCAGTCACAAAATAAAAAAGAAAAAAGAAAGACACAAAAAAAGGAAAAAAATAGAAAAGTCCAGAAAAAATATATAGAAAAGGTCAAGAAAGGTACAAAAAATATCAGGAGAAAAATAAAACTTATAAATTTATAGCACACCATATGTCCTCTATAATTCCATACCTCATTGTGCACTCCATTAAACCATCAAGCATTACCAATGAAAAATAACTAATGAAGTAATGAACTATTGAAATTTTGAGGCGAAAGGTTATACTTTGAAAACATAAAGTGGCAAGTCAACACTCCATATTCCATTGGCCAAAGTTTGTTACAAGCATACAATAGTCAATTGTAAAACTGATCACATTTGAATAACTGATCTTTTTGGCCGGTGTGTGTTACAAGCAGTGGTCAATTGCGTAACTGATTACATTTTACATATTTATAAAAGATACAAAAAAAAGTAAAACACATGTCCTATGTGTAATTTAATCAGTAATCTTCCTCTTCATTGTCATCTCCTCCTCCCTCATAACTTCCACCTGCAATTGGCAAATGCAAAATGTAAGTGCACAATAAGAATAAGTCCTTCAAATATCCATTTCTCAAATATATTTTATTATTCATACGAATATCAGTAAAATGTACAATTATAAGGAAAACTGTTAATACAAAAAAATACATAAATGCTGTAACTAGGAAACAATTTCCATGGTTATCTATTTTCCATAGAGGCATTTAATAAATCAATAATTAAAAAATAGAGGCATTTACTAAATCAGTAATAGAAGAAAACCAACAAAATAGATAAGCATATCAATTTTTCACATCAAATTTAAAAGTTTAAAGAATGAACAATCTGGAAAAATTTATGAATAGGGAAAATAAGGAAACTGAAACTAGTGGATACGCAACAAATGCACAAAAAGGGAAAATAAGGAACAAAAAAGGGAAAATAAGGAACCGAAACTAGTGGAGACGCAACAAATGCACAAAAAAAGTGAAAACAAAAATAAGGAAAACCGAATCTCCAAACTTATGAAATTTACAAACAGGAAGCTCCAAAAGAATAACACAAAACGATGAAAGGAAGAAAAAAAGAGGCTTAAAATGCACAAGATCATAACTAGCAAGCAATCTAACTATCCGGGAAGCTCCAAAAGAAAAACATAAAAAGAAGAACGGAAAAAAAAGAGGCTGAAAATGCACAATTAATTTAGTTTTAAAAAAGGCTTTTTTTAAAAAAATGATATAATGTAGCACCATTGCATGTTCTTCTAAAAAATCGAATAATTTCAAGTTCTTCCGAAAATTCATGCCCTTTAAAACTTTTGAAGAAAGTTAATAGTATTTATGGAACAATGGGTTTTAAACAATTGTTTACAAACCATGGAGGGACCACTGGGGCATCTGCCCAAGTACGGTTGCCGCCCACTATCCATCATCAAATTGACGGTATATGCCTCTTCGAGTATCATGCACTATACACCATTGTGTTATGGCACACTTCGCTTTCTTGCAACTGGTTCTTACTTCATCACTACCGTACCTGACCTTCGTTTGTTATCAATGCAGCCCCTCAGATCCATCGGAACCCGAGGAGGAACCAAATAGTCACCATCCTCCCCTTATTCCAATTACCCCAATAGAAGATGAAGACCCATCAGAACATCTTGAAGCCCCCCCTTCGACAAACACAAATTTTGAAAACCCTAGCTTACTAGAGAGCCTACCCACTTCAACCGGAGTAGATATCAGGCCACCAATTGAACCAGCAGAATGCAATGATTTATCGAGTGGTATCAAGCTATCATCAGATGGGAAGCCAATAAGCATGAGTGGCACAAGGGGCACAGAGCCTGATGTAGCAGCTGCTGCCTCTGCTGCCTTCACAGCCATACTAAAAAGCAAGGAGGAAGGAAGCTTAATAGACCCCGACCTCCTAATTCGGATCCTAAGCAACCCTAAACTGATTGAGAAGTTCCTCACTGAGCATGGTAAGGGTGGTGCACCAGTTTCTCATGCCAACCTTAAGAACCCAACTATTATTCCCATGATACACCCACCAACTACTAGCAAGCCACATCCACCTGTTCAGACTTCACCGGCAACTTTCCCGGCCAAGT